GAAGTCCAACCTACCTCCACCCCACTGCACTCATCGGATACGCTTCCAGACAAGGGGGAATCAGACTAAGAGATGCTGTGGATAGTTCAGGACTGACTGGCCTCAGACATTTTGGAAAAGGGAAAAGAACTGATTAGACTCACAGGAAAGCCAAGTGTAGTTATGAGAGCACTCTTTTAGGGGACTACAATAAGAAGCCAACAGATTTCTCCCCACTTCCCAGCAGGAAGCCTGCAGTCATCCCTAACAGTGCTGATAGACCCCCGTGCTTGGCGAGGCTCCCACCCAACCATCTGGAGCTCATCCACCGAGGTGCAGCTCTGAGGAAGGAGACAGAGCCTGGCAAAGGTGTTCAGAGAGCAGCTGGGGAGAGGGGTTTGGCTCCTGAGCTTCAGCACAGCTTCACTTGACAGCAGATGAGGGCACATCTCCTCTGAGGATGGAGCAGCTCCAATGGCACCGCAGTCCTGAGCGAACTGGGATAACCAGCAGCCCCTGCTGACAGCAGCACGTGCCTGGAAACCCTCCCCAGAGGCTGAGCCAGCAGCTGGGCCGTGCTCCTGCTGCACTTGTGTCAGTACCAGAGCTGGTTACACCCTGCTCACCTCGTGTCCCCGGGACCCACAGAGCCACAGCAGCTCCTGCACCGCAGAGTGGGACCTGCATCCCTTCTGCTCTCACCAGCTGGGGTTTTCAGGGGGCTGATGCCTTCAGCACAGCTCCATCCCACTGAGGGCCAGCAGTTTGCTTGGCACCTCTGACGCTGCTTTGAAGGCAGCAGCATATTCCCCCTCCTTGGGGGCTGTTAATGAGAGCCTGTTTCTCTGGTGAGGTGGAAGTACGGCTCTTAAACCTCTGCCAGAGCTTTCCCAGACAATGCAGCCACAGGCGGTCTTTAAATAAGAGGAAAGAATCAAAGGTGGGGAGTGACCTGGTCAAATCAGCTGGGGAAGATGAAGGGGGAAGGTGGGAGAGAGCAGACACACATTGCAGTTTTCTTCCCACGTCCATTTGGCAGCAAAGAACAGTGGCATGAGAGTCCACAGGTGCTCTCAATATTGGCAAATATCACATAGAAGGGTTTGCCACCTACACTGGCAGAAAATGTGCCATCAGCATAAGAGAAATGCAAATTACAGTGTAGTATAATGCATAGATATATGGAATTTATTTATTTATAGCCTCTCCCAACACATGTACAACTTGTGTACCCACAATATTTTCTTGGCTGCACTTACCCCTGCTTTGCATTCAGACTGCATGCACTGAAACCAGTCATTAAGTTGAACACATGGACTTCCCTTCTCTTATCCTAAATCTAACTTAGAGGACACCTTTCTGCAGGTGAGGGGAGCAGGGAAAAGAAAAAAGCAGAAGAATGAGAAAGGGACAAATTTTTTGCCATGAAGCCACCACCGGATCACGTAACTGCCACCATTCCAGCAATGAAAAGACAGCCCAGGCTGAGTTGTTCCTCTCCAAAACACACCTCCATGTTAAGATGAAGCTGCCACATCCTCCCTTCCACTCCCCTACCTCTTCCCCACAGAAGCCCTCAGAGGTGCAACTCACTCACCTTCAAAAGTGAGGCTCACGGCAGCTCCTGAAGGCTCATTCCAATATTTCCAGGTATTTGTTGGCATGCTGTAAGCACACTCAGTTCCCTCCTTAAACCTCCTGCAGCTCTCTGCCCTCACACTAGGAGTGACTTCTTACTATTACATTACCACATTCAGCCAGAAACTAGGAAGCTCTTTTTCCAGGGGGTGTTTTGAACCCAGGATTGGCACACAGCTTTTAAAGCTTGTTGCTCTCACTGAGACCACCAGCCAGTTAAAGCACAGACTGTTTTCTACAGAGCAATCCCACAAGGATTTGCCACTATGATTTAAATCAGCTGGCAGAGGAGACTGGAGGGTGGGGGTGGTGAGGAGGGCAAGACCCAGAGATGCACTTGGCCAAGCCCTGCAGAAAAGATGCACCTGCAGGCAGAACTCAGGCTCCTCCCAGAGCCTGAAACGGCACCAAACCCACAGCTGAACCGTGTCTTCTTTCAGATTTTCAGCCACTAGATCAAGGGACAAAGGCACAAGGGCACAGCCATACTCTGCAGCCTGACCTGCCCCAGATTTTTGAACTACCTTGGAAAGCTACTGCAAGGGCTTGAGGGGAAAAAAATGCTCCCAGTAACACAGAAAGCCAGGTTTCAATATTGTGTGTATCATGGTCTGGCTCGCTGCAGGTCACCAACCTCGTACAAAACCTGGTTTGAGGGGAAAAGTCTTTCTAGTAGCACAGGAGTCTCTAAAAAGGGGAAAAAATGCAGCATTACACCTCCAGAAAAACAAGACACTGCACACAGCTCCCAAGCCACAAACGAGCCGTGGGCAGTCTTGATTTTTAACAAGAAATCACTAATGGTGTATTATAAACTTAAAGAACAGCTCCTGGGGCCAAACCACCAAACCAGGACTCCTTCAATATCCCACAGCTTGTGAAACGTTGCAGAGCAGCGCTCTGAGCTGCTGCTGAGCAGGGGATGGTTCAGCCTTTGCCACATCCTTCCCTGTACAGCTTTAAAGTGCCATCCAAGCACAGCATTTTTCCTGCTGCTTGATGATTTCAGATCCTTGACCTGGGAATGGTATCACATCTGCTACCCATTATCAGGGAGGGAGAAAGGCTCTCCCCTCCTCGCTTCCCCTGCGTGTAGCTCGCACAGTGTTGTGTCTGTGAGAGCTGAAAGCAGTCAGGCTGTAATTCAAACAAATCAGATCTAATCACCCTTATCAGAAGGCTGATAAAATCAGCAAAACTGAGAGGCTACAAAAACACAAGGCAAAGAGGTATTTCATGATGGGCATGGAAAACCAACACCTCTGAAGAGCTGTTTTCCCCACAGAGACATCACATCACAGTGGGGCACTGCTGAAGAGCCTTTTGCAGACCTAGAAAATGTTACTTCCCAAATTCTGATGCTGGAGAGGGCTGTGAGGCACAGAGGGCTGCATTCCAGAATCCCCCCTAGCTCCCAAATTTTGGACAAAGCAGTCACAAAACCACTACAGGTGGACTAACACCATCTCAGCCAGATGTTTAATGGGTGCAATGATGTCCAAACAAAACACGGAGACAGGTCCAGGTGCTGTGGAGGGGACCACGAGTCTTACTTTGCTACCAGAGCTCCCAAGCCCAGAGGTGGACACTGGCACAGGCACAGAGCTGGAGAGGAGGGTTTTCTGAGCCCAGGACCCACTTTTAGAGGACAATACAGCTCTGGTGGGGCCCTAATGTCAATCCTCCATCTGCACGTAGCAATATCCTGCAGCTGCCTCCCCTTTGCCTGGCCAGCTCCCAGTCCCAAATTCACCAGCTCCGTGGCACTGCACCATAACAGGAACAGTCCTTGGCAGGGTTCCTGCCTGGGGCTGCCTGTACTTTGTGAACCAGGCTTGCAATCACATTTTTCTGGTTAAGATCACCTCCAGAGGAACCACCTGGAGTCCTTGGCCAGCTAAAGGAGAACCTCTGCCCTCATGTGACTCACTTTCCCATGGCAGAGGAGCATGGGAAGCACTTAGGAGAGGAGCATTTCGCAGGATGAGCGGACACGGGTGCGCAGACAGACAGGGAACTTCCTGACACACACCCTGGGACTGTCTGCTGGACACGAGGGCCGAGCCCTGACCTCCCTCCAGCCAGCCTGACACAAAACAAAGCTGCACTTACCCACTGGCAGTGAATGTCACGCAGTGATGGAAAAATAGGGGTTGGAAGAGACCTTGGGAGGTCACCTAGTCCAGCTCTGTGCCCCGCTGGAAGAGTCAGCGCTGCATTGTCCCCGTCAGGCACACATCTAACCTGCTCTGAAAGGCCTCTGGTAATAAAAGCAACATATTCGAGGCTTTTGCTATTTATATCATGATTTGGAGCAGTGCTTGAAGAATGGAGGGCACAGAGGGGAATTGCTGCATAATAGCTGAACACTGCATTACTGAAATGCTGTAGGACCCAGGGGAAGCTGCTGAATAGATAAGGATATCTCAGTGCAAAATGTAAGGGCAGGACCACCAGCAAGGTAACAAGGGCACATTGGAGGGCCCCAATCGGGCTGGACAGGCCACCTTGCAGGGTTGTGACATCCAGCAGAGCCAGTGGGGACTGACAGGCTGCACAGGGAGGGCATGGAGTCTCCCCCTCTGGAGACATTCCAAACCCACCCAGACACGTTCCTGCATCACCTGCTCCAGGTGACCCTGCCTGAGCAGAAGAGTTGGACTGAACGATCTCCAGAGGTCCCTTCCAACCCCAGCAATTCTAGGATTCTGGGATTCAGTGCCCCTCCTGCAACATGGAAGCACGGACCTCAGCACTGCCTCCCACAGAAGCTGGCCTGACATCCTTCACGAGGATTAAAAAAGCAGGCAAATAAAAAAATAAAGTCATGTTCTCAGCTGCATGGGAGAGGGTGTCTCGGCAGGAGGAGGCTCCGGGCATGTTTACCCAAACACGCAGACTTTTAAAAAGAACAGTGGAAACGCTTAGCACAAAATCCCATTAGCAAATAACGGGATTTCTGGGAGCACCATCTGTGCACCACATTGAACACTCGCCCCGGAGCACGGAGACTAAAGCACGTTGCATATGGAAACCCAGACAAAAGAATATACAATAATACACAAAGGCAGGGAGAGCACATATAGGATGGGGAAGAAGCCAGAAGAGACTTTTTCCTCCCCATCCTCACAATACCCAAAATCCCATTCCCTTCACAGCCTTCCCACGATGGCTCCTGAGGCATCTCACGTCCCTTCTGTGCCCACTGTGAGGCCCCATCATGTTGCCACAGAAGGGGAAAAGCAGCTTTGACATGAATGAGAATCAGCTGACAAACTAAAGCTGTTCAGTGTGAGGTGACACACAGGGGTAATCTTGGAAATAATTTTTTCCCCCTCGGGTGTTTTCCAGGGAGGTCTCCCAGATTTCTAAGCCTTTCCTACCTGGAAAAGGCTCTGTCTCATCTGTGAGGTTCTTCAGCTCCACCACAGTGCAAAGGGCCCTGGGAAAAGCCCAGAAGTGAGCACACTAGGGTAACTCTGAAACAAAGCCAGAGAGGATTTGGTAGGAGTGGGTTCTGGAGAGCAAAACAAACCCAACTTCACAAACTGGCAACTTGAAGGAGCCCTCTCCAGTGATTCTCAAGCACTCCTTCTCCTTCATGCTTCCAAACATCCCCATCTTTGTCCACTCTCCCAAGGGCTCTTCAGCAGCATCCTCCAAAACAGCTATTACAGCAATTACTGCAATTAATTGATTTGCATATCCCCAAAGCCCCATCATTAGTGCAACACAGCCAAGCGTGTTAGTGTTTAATAATATCAATCAACAATTATTCATAACATCCCGCCCTGGCAGACCTAAATATAGAGACAAGCATTCATGCGAAAACAAAAAGGAGGGGAAAAAAAACCCCAGCAGCTAAACAAAAGAATTAATTTAGAACAGAATTAGGATCATAGAAACAAGACAGACAAGAGACAAGGTCAGATGTCTCACTCCCAGCTCATGTGTGACTCTCCCAACCTCCCTGCTCTCAGTTACTGAGCGAGCTGCAACTAAATAAAGTGATTTTCTCCTTGTAGTAAATAGCCAGAGAGCTGCAACGAGCACATACGAGGGGGTGTAGAGGAACAAGAGACGACTTTCACAGTCTGCTGGCCCTGGTTCAGAACAGCACTTCAGCTACAGCTTGAGAGGGTCCCCATTCAGGACAACACTTAAGCACATGCTGAAATTTGAGTACGTGCTTAAGTCCTGCTCCTCCTCGGGCCAGGCGCTAGGAAAAAGGAAAGGCTGCTATCCAGTTTTCCAGGCTTTTAGAAGCACAAGCTGTACCTCTCAGGGACCGTATGCTCTTCACCAACCTCTGGGTTTGGAGCCAAAGCCTGTTTGCTCCACACGTGAGCCCTCGTGCTGGAGGTGCCACCACACACCAGGAGGGAGGCACGACCAGCTCAGCCTGGTCTCCATCACCTCCTTCAGCAGCAGGGGGAGGTCTTTGCAAGAGCCCAGTGCCAGGATACATAAGGTAATTAACAGATATGTTAACGTGCATGTTGATCAAGCAAAGAACAGCACCTTGCTCTGAAACAGCCGCCAAGAAAACTCAGGCATTCGGCTGCTCGGGTGGTGTCAGCCGATGGAGTACAGCAGGCACCAAAGGCAACTAGTTTCTTTACACTTCTGGAGGAACTGGCAAGACCATGGTGGTACAAAGCCACAGCCTTGCTGCAAGTCACAGCTTGTCACCAATCTCTGCCAATATCCTATTCATGAAAGGAATTAGGCCAGGAGGGGCTCAGTAGGTGCTTCCCACTCTCAAGGATGCAGCCAGAAGGCTGGTGGGGCAATGATGTCTCCAACCTTTATCACTCACTACATCCTGACCATCCAGCAGGCTGTGGCTTCAAAGCCATCTTAAACTTCCCCCATCCTGATCCAGTGCATCCCGAGGTCCCTCAGACAGCTCCAGCACAACTGTGGGGCAGAAACAGTCCAGATATCACAGAGGGCGGCAGGAAGGACGGACCAGCCACCAGGAGAAATGTGGGCACAGGGAAGGAGCAGCTCTGCCCTTGCTTCTGACCCTCTGGCACTGAGACAAGGGTCTCCAGAGCACATTTCCCTCTGCTTTGGCTCTGTCAAGCCATCCCACAGACAGATCCCAACACTGTAAATCATCACACCAGCATGAACAGAGGACATCCCCCTTCCCAGCTCCACGCCCAGCGCTCCTGCTAAAACTACTGACTGCAGACTAAACAAAGGCTTTTTTACCCTGCCCACAATCTGGACTCCTAACTGGAGACTCATCCAACATGGAATCTATTCCCATTCCTTTCACACCCCTCCCTGCTCCACTGGTGCCAATGCTGGGGGAAATATTGTGCCCTGACAGTAGGAAGGAGTAAAATGCAATGTCTCTCCAGCAGCATTCTAAGTAGAAAAAGAAATAAGATTTTAAAGCCCCCTCGCCTTTTGTTGGCTTCCAGCTTCCCCCACCACTCTGTAGCCACACACGACGTGCCGGGAGGGGTGCCCAAAGCAGGAGCAGGAAGCAAGGAAACTACAATTGCAGTAAAACACTTCAAAAAGGCTTTGCATTTGCTCAGAATTGCTTGAAAGGAAACTTGCTGCTCACGGATGTTCGTCCTTCATCTTTCACATGTTTTAAAAGAAGTATTAGTCTGATTGTCTGGGTTTTTCTTGGGAAAAAAAGAGTTTCTGGAAGTCAGGGTCCAAAAGCAAAACATAAATAGGAAATATAAATGCTTCCTTAAAGCCGTATTTGGGTTGTTTGTGAAAATCCCCAGCAGCTTTCACTGCCTCCCAACAGCAATTGAGAGACTTCAGGGGAAAAGTAAGACATGAGTGGCCACAGCGCTATTTTCCAGAATAATGTGGAAGGGGAAATCCAAAACAACTAAGTGCACAACACTGAAGACCTCAGAGAGAAGTTTGCCTGGGGCAAACATCTCCTAACTGCTGTAATTACCGTGAAAGGTCATCAAGGACACCTCCCCGTGCATGCTAGAAAAATTCATGCAAGCATTTCGGGTGGTTAGGGCAGCTTTTTCAGCAAGTGTAACAAAGTTCTGACATGGAGCCATACGAGGTGACATCAGCAAACAGGCATTTTCTCAGAAAGCGCACGCAGAAGAAAGCTGAGGACATTCAGCACCTTCCAACTCCCGCTCTCCTGCTTTTAACCACGGCCATTAAAAAGTTCAAACCGTCCAAAACACGGGGTGAAAAGCAAAGGCTGCACACGCAGGACTTCGCAGTGACAACAGCGAGTACAAAAGAGCTCAGTCTGCGAACGTAATTGGATTTAAGAGCCAAATTTCTTTGGGCACTGGCTGTGGAGAGGCTGTGGTGTCCCACCCTGGCCAGGCAGGTCCCCGTGATGGGGAGTTGGCAGCGCGGGGGCAGCGCGTGCTCCTGGCGCACGCGGGCACCCACACGAGCCAGCCCCTGCCCCGCCTGTCCAGGGGGGCTCAAGGAAAGCCAGGTGCAAAGGGAATGTTCATCCTCCGTGCTTCCCTTCCCGGGATCCCACTCACGGGCCCAGGGTGGAGAGCAATGGGATAGACAGGCTGTGGGGGAGAGGGCCCTCCACGGCTTCATTGCCAGCTGGAGCAGTGTCCCTTCTCCTGGGACTGGAGTGCTGGAGGACACGTGGGATGCTCCGAACAAGAGTCCTTCCAATCCTACCCTGGGACTGGCCACATCTGGTGGAGCCGGGTGAAGTCATGGCACATGCAGGTCTGGCCAACTGGTTTTACCTGTGTCGGGCAAAATGATGATTTTGGGGCTGGACTGACTCCTTCCCGGTTCCAGAGCTCATTTTCAGAGGTGAGGGAGAAAGCCTTTGGCCCGTTAAGTGCCTTTGTACACTCACTGTTGGCACCTGGTGCTCTCAGCAGGGTAAGCACACAGTCTCAGGCTGGGAGGGAGCTTTTCAGACCATCTGCTCCAATCCCCTGCTCAAAGCAGCAGGAAATGAATCACTGCACGTCTCCCCTGCTCTGCAGCCAAAGGCACAGGTGGGACACGTGTGAGGAGCAGGGAGGGACGCAAGAGACCTCACCACAAGAACCTCTCCTGCTTTAAACGCTGTGCAGAACAAGCCTCCTGTATGAGAAAAAGCTGCTAAAACGCTTGTTGCCCTGACTGAGCACCTCAAGTCTGACCCCTCACTCCAGAGCCTGGGAGGGTCTGTTCTCCCAGACCATCCTCCCCAACAAGCAGTTTTAGCCCTCAAGAGCCAACCAAAGAAACACTCCGGTGCACAGAAAGCACATAACTGACCTTCATCTGCAGAAACAAGTGTACTGGATGCATTTTGGCCTGCGTTTTACCCTTTTCTTCCCAGACCCTGTGGCATTATTGTGCACCTCATAAAGCAGACCTGTCCCAGCAAGGGCCTACCATCTTCAATTACCCCACGTAGCCAACCTGGGAAGAGCTGTACCTGCTGTCTCTAAGGTGTTACACCACCATACACTAGTGCCAAATAAAGAAAATGCTGCAAAGCCACTGTTTAACTGAGCAAATTCACCTGTTTTGCACTTTGATCTTGATGCAGGAAGCAGAAAAGCCCCCTGCTACCCTTCTCCAGCTTAGACAAAACCTTTCCCTGTGCTCACTCCCAGTGACAACCCCGCACTAGTTATGAGCTGTTCCTTCTCTGGCCTTTTTATTTCATTCCATCACACCAAAAGTAGAGACAGGCTTGGAAATTAAACTGCAGCCACCAGTTTCATTCATAAAGTTGGCTGCATAATGACCAAGTGAGCTATTGTTGTTATTTCTCACAGTTTACCACCTCCAAGCCAGGGAGTATTGTTTTTATTGCTATTGTGAGAACAAGAGCAGGGGGAAAAAATAATCTTAAGCTTCCCTTCCCCTCCCAATCAAATATAATAGAGAAAAAAATCCCAACAGGGCGGATGTCAGATCCTTGAGGATTTTTTTTTTTTTGAGTTATCTACAGGAGCTCAGCCTGGTGCTGCAGGTTTCTTGAGTCTGAATTTTATCAATGGGCTGCACTGGGTCCATTTGAAAGGACAGCAGGTGTTCGAACAATGAACCCAGGCTGCCTCCACATCTGGGCTACAAAAGCCATCGCCATGTTTACAAGAAACAGGATAATCAAGAAAACATCCTGTCACAGGGCACCTAAAATGCTACAGCCCCTTGTTATTCATTTTTCTCTCACACTGTGCTGCTTATTTATAGCACGAGAAGTTGAACCGGGAGGAGGAAAAAAATAAATGCGAAGTTTCTCACTCATTTCCACAGAGAAGTGACGCACGTGCAACGTGGAAGGCAGGCACTGGGCTCCTATTGTTCCTCCAGCTCGAGGTGGGATGGCATTAACCCCTGAGCTCTTGCTGCAATCAGGGAATTATCTGGGCATAGCTTGTTGGTTTTGCTTCATTGATGCAACCGTGTCAGTTAAACCTGACTCACCCTGGGACACCCCAGAGGGAAACTGAGTCACCACAGACTGGAAATAACGTCC